ACTGAGTCATCCTTGTTCTTCAACCTTGTACGAATATTTAGAGAAGCTATGAAAAGTAATTTGATTGTAAATTGTCGTTTACCTCCTCCAGAGGGAATATCAAAACATTAGTTGTTATGTAAATATAGTTAATGATACTATTTTGTTTCTTTATTTTTTATAGTGAAATTCTTCTATGATAAATCCATCCTTATAGAGATTGAATAGTATATTACAATGGAAAAAATAAATTGAAAATGAAGAACATGAAGATTGATTAGTAGAGGTCATATACATCATCCTCAAATGGTCTATTTACCAAGACTTCCACACCCTCAGGCCAATTGTGATCTGGCACTGCATCTTCATAACCATGTACATCTAGGCCACTTGATACTGCAATCAAACATGGGATTTTAAGCAAACAACCCTAGAATCAACCGCCATTGCACGATGCTTCATTGAATCACCATACCTCTTCCAAGGACATGGGCATGACAATTCGACTTCACGTTATTTCCCACATTAATTAGTTATAAATTAAGGAATACTCAAAACATTGATCAAACAAAAATAAAGGGGAAAAAAAGAGAAGAATAAATATGTTATGAAAGGATATAACTGTATTTAGACCATCTTTAATTTTAAATGCATAATATTTTGTTATATCTGAACAATATATTTAAAAATACATATATTTAAGATTTATTTTTTTATTTAATTCAAACAATATATTTTAAAATACATATATTTTAAACATATGTATTTAAAATACATGTATTTAAAATATACATTTCAAATACAAATATCAGTTTCCAAACACTATATATTAGAAAAGCATAAACTATTATTTTAGGGAATAAGATGGATATAGGGGGAGTTTTTGCAAACCGTTAGCGACCTTCTGTTGGACTTGGAGGAGGTGGACAAGGAGGTGCAAACGGCACAATAATGACATTACTTAAATCGCTCAAAAATAAATCAATCTCGTATCTTAAGAGACAGCTGGGTTGCAGAATTCTGCACCCGGTTATTCCATAGCAGGCAGCCCTCATCCTGTCGCTGCCCGTCGCCAGACAAGCGCCGCATTTTTGCTGGGACAGATCCGGGGTACACTGCATCATGGCGTAAATTCTTTGGGAAGAGACCGTTAAACCCGCTGCATACTTGAAAAGAGGACCTCCGGCGGCCGCACGGACGCTTAAATTTTTCAATAAGAAACTCAAGGCCCTGTCGAAATCATTAACGTTATGCGGCGCAGATTGGTTATCAACTCTCCATAGTTTATCATAAGGATCGGTTTCCATAATCCCGTAAATTTGTCGGTTTGAGTAACGTAAAGTACAGAATTCCGACCACCCGATTGCTTCTTTATAGTTGGGACAGGTTTGTTGGAGCGCGTAGATGGTGCTGTTCAGGCAACTTTTGCAGACGTCCACATTTTGGTCTCCCCTGCAGAGTGCAATTGCGTTGACCTGGTCAGGGCTTTGGCCAACGGACATATGATAGAAGCCATGATTGTAATCCTGGCTGGAGGACAGTTGGGAGAATAGACGATTGAGGTTGGCATCGTAGGTACTGTTAGCGGTGAAGTTACCGTTGTTGCTAGCACAACTTTTACGGAAATCACTAGCAATTTGGGCGGAACTCAGATTTATGTGAAAAGCAGAGAAGAGTAAGAGCAGAAAGAGTTTTAAAAATCTCATTTGCGTAAGACACAGTAAATACATTTTACTCTGTTCAATTTCAAGCTAAATTTGTTAATGGGAAAAGGAGCAAATAAGCCCTTCTAATTGAATGGTATATAAAGGAAAAGTCCTGTAAGCATTAGTTTTCAATGGAATTGAAAATTTTGTGCTGTGTTGCGTTGAATTAGGATCTAGTCATCCCATTCCCAGCTTCCTTTAAGTTTCCACAACTTCGTCGCGAAGACTGGGACTATACTCCCCAATTACAAGGTTGACAATGATATGTGGGCCGGCGGAGACACATGTCATGACCAACGTCTTATTCACCAACCAGGCCGAATGAGAAATGG